TGTGTGTGTGTGTGTGTGTGTGTGTGTGTGTGTGTGTGTGTGTGTGTACGCCTAAAATAAAATAGTAACACACAAAAATTGTTCAGTCGTAAAGTTTATCTTTTGACTGCAAAGAAAATGCTTAAAAAGCAAAAAGGATAGACAAAACAATTCACATGTGCTGCTCAGTACACCTAAGGGTTATAAAGTGCAATACGTGCGTGAGTTCAATTATTGATATGTGTGTTTAGCGTAGACAAGGCCACGATTGCCATCAATGGCGTCGTTTATATTCAATGCTTTTGCATTTTTTTTTTTTCTTTTTTTTTTTTTTCATTTTACAATAATAGAACCAAAATATGTTTGGCATACATCGTATGCGGGAAAAACTGTCATTGAAGCACACCCACGAAAATTTCTTTAGAATAAATATTATTTTAATAATTTCAACATCCTGTTTCAATTTTAACTTGTCATTTTTTTTATTTACACCATTATATTATAGTAATAGTGTATATTTTTCAAAAGTGAAAAACCATTTTTTATACAAGACATGCAAACTTGCAATAAAAATATAAACGAATGTAGATATAAAAAAAAAAAAAAAAAAAGCATAATGTCATAAAAGCGAATGAAAAAGAAATTAGTTTTAGCTTGAATCGAACCTCTTGATACTCACTATTGTAATGTGACCAGTCACACTGAGAAGATTTCCCCTATTCGTGTAATTTGTCGACAGACGGAAAGTAGGAAAAGGGAAAGAGGATAGGGAAGCTACCGCAACTTAATGGAAATGTGCCTGGGGCGGTAAACGCTGAGCATTCATTGCAACTATCATCAACGTAGATATGGTATTCAAGCTTAAATCTAAAACCGACAGAAATGCTTTAGCTGCAGTTAGTCTAATAGCCTCAACGATTGATATATTTCATATGACCGCCTTAAACGCAGCAGTAGTCATACATAAACGTCAAACTTTAAAAGACAATAAAAACATTATAACGCAAGGATCGTCATTTTCGATGAAAATGTTTTGATCTATGACTCGATTAAGCGAACTCGCTTGGCCTCACGAAAATGAATGGATGACTTTATGCTAAATTGCCTTGTAATTACTTGCACAATAAACGGAGAAGTCGACGACAAACACAAGCTGGAGAGATTTTGCTACCAATTCGTCATTATCAAAAATGTATGCAACCATTCTAAGCTTTGCAAAGGTTCCACAACTGTAACCGTTCATGAGAAATCTACTAATACATACATACATCCGACAAGAATACATATGTAACCGACAGCTTAGCAGACGCAACATGCTCAAAGCAATAGTCAACTGTCATCACAAACGTCCCCGTGCTTATATAGGAATGTTCACCGGAGTCTCGGTGATTGTGACCGAACTTTTCTATCGATTTAAGTAATTTCCAAATGTATTGCAGAACAGATGATACAAAGTGTGCATATTTAAAGTCGTATAGGTTTTCCTGGGCAAAACTTAATAAAAGTAACTAACACACAATCGCAATAAGCAAATTGACCGAAAGACTTAGGCAGATATATATAACTAAATCGTTTCTTATATTTACACTAAGCAAGAACGCGTACACTTGAGCATAAGCATTTCCAGTGAATATTTCTCGCGACGCCTTTGCAAACATTTGGCGAATTTAATATACGCCCATCTTCGAGAGAATAAAAACTACTTGGCAATAGAAATTCCAAGTATAAAATGTTTTTTAATCCAAAAAAATTGCTCTGTAAAAAATTACGATTTTATATAAATACATCTCTAGCATATTTATTGTGTTACACAATTTATTTACTTAGCTCACCTTTAGATTAGAAACTTAAAAACTTAATGAATTCTTTATTTTTTTTTTTTTTCTATGCTATTTAAATGCAAACATTTTATTATAATATTTGTAAACTTATGAACTCGGAATGAATGGATTTTTATGAGCGTATAATAAGCAATTAACGTCCGCATCGCCAACTCTTCAGACACGCAATAAGTTAATGTTGCTTGCATATTATAAAATAGATGGTTTATTAAATTTTTCATAGCATAAGTGGATCTGCTGCATATATAAAAGCAAATTGTTGGGTTAGTCAAAGAACTTATCGGCCTATGTGCTTCATACTTAAAGCTGAACAATCCAGATAACAATACATGTTTATTGAATATTAACCCAAATTTAAACGAAAAATTTTAGATCACGTTTCTGCTGACTTTTTCAAATTAAGTCTAGAAATCGCTGCAAAACTAAAAGCCATCATACTGCCGCGGACATAAAATGTATGAAAGTAAAGACTTTACGTGCAATATAGAATTCAACTATATATATGAAATTTTCATCAGTACATGCACTCTACACTGATGTCCGCTTATTGATTAATTTACTATTCTTCTTTCTGTTTACCTTCGTCTGTCCATTAGTCTTCACTTTTTCACATCGGTCCGATCGCTTACTAACTGCCAATCATTATTATTCTTCATCACCATTATTCCATGCATATCCCTCTTAGCGGGATCAAGGTTTCTTTAGCTATCGTTAAGTTCGAAAAAGATCCGTTTGAAAATTAAAATGCGTTGCCTTAGTTTTCAAATTATCGCAATTAAAGAATTTGAAATAAATCAAATCGAAACCCTATCATCGCTCAGAGATGTGTAAAAGACAGAAAAAACTCAAAAATAAGTTTTTTACAAAAAAATTCATTAATAATCAACTAAACATATGGACCGATTATTATTTTCATATTAATATTAACAGAAACTCGGTAAATTCTTTCTTTGGAACAGGGTTGCATATGTTGCCACAGACCGCCCTCATTAGAGATATACGCTCAAATTTAAGAGATCTTTCAAGTGTATAGGTTAAATGTCCATAACAAAAAGGGTTTGAGTCCACATAAAGTCTATTACACAAGGGATCTATTCTACATATTGGATCGCTTACAACGCTTACAAAACATCCAAGACATATGGAATTTTATCTCCAAGCTAGCCAAAGTTAACCAAGATAGCTAAACTGACATCCCTTTGAGTAAAGTTATGGAAATTTAATTTTTTTTGAAACGTGAGTATCAGAAGAATCGATCCCAGCTGAATGTAATAATGTAGTTTTGCCGTTTCCCAATTTTTGAAACCAAATTGTGATAAAAATGTAGTCAAAATAGAAATTTTCCAAATGTTTGCTCAATATAACAAAAACAAAATTAAATTGATTTATGTCTCTCATAACTTTAGTCATGCCACACTATGTTGGCCTAATTTTATCTCTTGGATAAAATGTGCATGTTATTTGTTTTCCTTTTCTCTTTCTTTTTTATTATGCCGATGTAAATGATTCAGAAACATGCTAAACTTGTTTGTTTGCATTTTGTCAAGCTTTGCCACTAAAATCCTTAAGGATAAGTCGGCCACATTGATTTCATGTAATACGTCTGTCAATAAGTTCCGGAACCAATCAAGAAATAAAAATAATTTTTGATTTTATTCATCAAAGAAATCTGCTTTAAGGCCAAAGCTTCTCTAACATTTTTCATTGTCATGTGTTCATAGAACGATTCTAGTTAGAATAAGCAAATCATCATAGTATCTAACTTAAGAATTCCGAAAAGTTAACGTTGCCTAGGACTCTGAGCAGCAGTGAAGGCGAAACCCATTTGGAAGAGACTCTCCCACGCCTAAATATCCCTAAATCTCCTACACTATGCAACACAATCAATTTGTGATGATATCGTTGCAATGTCAGTTATCCCTTAGTGAATTCATTTATCGAAATTATTTTCGACAATCACTTTATTCAGTATCATCAGCAAACCAACTACACAATATGTGGTTTTCTTCGAAGAAGAGTTTTGTCAAAAGGCAATGCTTGGTTAACACAAGAAATTCCCATTTTTTATGGCTTTGGCTACCGGTAACCATAGTGATCGAAGTGCTATGAATTTTTTCAACAGCTTTGGAATTTTATAAAACGAAATACACTTGTTTTATTAGAGGCAGCACCATTCATGTATTAGTTTCGGGAATTATTGAGCGACGTGCTATTCTATTGAGTCTTGTAATATATTTCCGATTTCTTTGAAAATGTACAAAAAGAGAGGGCGGGCGCGCCAGTAGATAAACAAACATAATAAATAAAATGAAAATTTAATTAAATTTGTAAAGCTCATATGACACACAAATTTGAA